TGTTCCACAGAAGATCTTGGTATGTGGTAAGATAGACATCTATGTGGGCCATCATTACTGTTGCTACTGAACTGTTTGTTCCACTGTGTGAACAGGGCCAGTCAATGGCACAATGATAGTGTAATGCTGGGTCTGCATGTGAGGGCTCTGGGTTCTTGTCCTGGGGCCTTCCTGCATGTCCATGGTGGCTGGCCTAGTCTGAGAGAGGATCATGATGTGAAGACCCTGTTGGCTGTTGGAGATGTTTTCTCTACGCCCACCCACCCATGGAAGAAATAAATGTTTAAAAATATATGAATGAGTGGTTGAATGAAGTCTAGAAGTGACTGCAGGTGCTGAGGTAATAAAATCTTGATTAACTGGGAAAAGCAATGCTGTGATTAATTTTACAGTGAAAGAAGAGTGAAATAAGGATTATTTCAGGAAAAGCTGTCAAAGGGCACTAAAACTTGCCTCTGGTAGCTCTTGTTCCTCTGTACAGCCCTGGCTGATACACTTAAAGTGCCATCTGAAGGGGTGATTTCTCAGGGAGTCTCACCTATTTCTGTCATCCTCTTTTATGCCAAGCTGTTTCCTTCTGGTCTCTAAATAAAAAAAAACTCCTTCCTGTTTGGAATCTGCATAAGCTATTCCCAAGGCCGTGGTTCTAATGGAAAAGAGGGATGTTCAACTTCATGTGTATTTATTTTCATTCCTAGACCACTGGTCTGAACAGAAGGCTGGCTCATGGCCCTAGGTTGGGTTCTCTGGAAACAAAGGCTAATCACATTTGGGGCTGTAAGGTGTTTATTAGGGAGGGTCATCTGAGCAAGGAGGAGGGAGTAAGACTGGGCACAGGAAGGAATGGAACCACTGTGTGGTCCTGCGGCACCTTGGTCTGCCCAGCAGAGTGCACTGGACTGAGCGGGCCAGCTGAGCACATCTGTCCCTACCTTCCCAGGTGTCTAAGAGCAGGCTGCTCTGGGAGGGTCACCACCTCAGCATGGTGCTCTCAGCATCTGGGACAGGTTCCAAAGTAGATACCTAGAGGCTGGCTGACAACTTCACTCCTCTCAGCTGCACAGCAAGTTCTTTCTGAACAGGAGAATTGTACTGTGGTGTCTCTGTCAAGGCAAACACAGTTCCCTGTTGTTTCTTGCTCTACAAACCTCTTGTATCTGCCAGTTACCAAGACCTTGATGAAGGCCCGCATCTTCTCTCTCCTTTTTAATTGTTTATGTATTATGGTTATTTAGTTTTTCTATAGGAAGCATGTGCTTTCCAGAGAGAGAGAGGGGAAAGGAGTGAGAAATCACCACCTAGGGGATGACCACATCATAATATCTTCACTTCCATTCTCCTCCCAGGATCTTGGGCACACATGCTTGGTGTGATTTCCAGGCTCTTGGGACCAGGACTTGAACAGAGGTGACTTGGTAATGTGGGATCTAGTCACCTTAACCTCCATGAGGTTACCTGCTATCCCTAACTTTTCTCTCTTTGATTAATGAAAGTAACAGCTCCACAACTGTTTTCCATATAGTTTATCATCTATAATGCTGCCAGAGAGAGCTTTAAAAAACACAACACTCACCTTCCTTGTAGCACAGTGCTCCTTGGGTGGTGGTGGTAGTGTATTGCACACTACCTTCATGATGAAGTTCAGACACCTTGGTGTGGTTTATAAGGCCCTGTGTACCTTGCCCCCGCCTCCTCTCTGACTTCCTCCATCTTATCCACAGCCTCTTCCTGTTTCCACCTCAGTCGTGTTCTAGTTTCCCAACTCTTCTGGGTCCCTCTCCCTTCTTGTCTTTGGTCAAGATGCTTCCTCTGTCGAGAAACACCCTGTGGTCCTAGAGCCTTTGAGTTAATCCACATCTCCTGCCTGCATGCTCAGGACTCGCCCTGTGCCTCACAGTGGTCTGAAGCCTCATGTTCTGAGCCCAAAGACAGAAACAAATTCAGCTCACTTATCAGTTAAAATTCTTTCTGAATTACTGTAGAGAAGACTTGGACCCTCACCTCTCTCCACCCCAATCATTTTCCTTTCTGGAACTTTTTTTTTAATGAAAATCACACCTTTTATGTTTGTAAAGATTGGGAATATAAGTGGAGCAGAGTTTCCATTTTGACCCTGCTATGAAAAATAACTGTTTTAAAAAAATCTGAGTTATCAAGTAAGATTTTCAAATGGTTCTACTTTTTAAATGTACACAATGTTTGTTCTAAAAATACTTCTCCTAATCCCTTCACTCATACAAAACATATACTTTTTCATATAATTATTTATTTTATGTATTTACTATCTTCATTTTAGCCAGAGAATGGCAGAGTGAGACAGAGACGGAAAGTGAGAAAACAAGTTACCAGGTCTGGGACTTGAACCATAGTCAGATATATGGAGTCTAGTGCCTTAACCACCATACCATCTGCCAGCCCCCAAAACGTATCTTTTCTTTTCTTTTTTTTTTTTTCTTTTTTTTTTTTTGCTATGGGGTGCGTGCACTTGCCAGAAAGACAGAGACAGAGAGACAGAAAGCAAGAAATCACCCCCCAGGGGGGATGGCCACGCTGCAGTTCCTTCTCCTCCATTCTCCTCTTGGGATCTTGGGCATGCACGCACACATGCCCGGTGTGAATTTAAGCCACCGGGTCTGGGACTCGAACTATGGTCAACTACATGGGAGTTCAGCGACAGTCATTATGCCAACTGCTAGTCCCCAAAACGTATCTTTTTAATTTTTATTTTTATAAAGTAGAAATTACAAAACTTTTGTTTTAACGGAAAATTTTACAGTCTTATGTCTGTTAAATGTTTCTTCCAAAACACATTTTAAAGAATATCTTCTCTAAAAGCTAATATACTGAATAAGAGCACAGAGATTGATATCAGAGTAGAACCCATGGTTTGTCTCCAGCTCTTAAGCTGTAATTATATGGAATTTACCTTTTCTCTTAAACTTGATGTCCTCATCCATCTAGAAATGGGGCAATATGGGTCCTATTCTCTCCACACAAGGTTATCATGAAAATGAAGTGAAAATGCATAAATAGATCCTTAGTTCTGGCCCTGGCATGAAATGCCCCAGCAAAATGGGAATGGTATCTATTATATGCTGGATATGAGATGTGATACATAATTAAGGTACTGCCAGGGACCAAGGGCACTGTTCATTTCCAAGTTTCAGTTACCCAGAGAGAAATCTTCCTGCTTGCCACCCTATCATTTGAGCATCTTAATCTTTCCCTTTAGAACATGGAAATATAACCTGAACCACATATGTAACTAAAATTTCCAGTAGCCTGTTATAATATGAAAAAAGTAGATGAAATTAATGTTAATATCTTTTAACATATCCAAAATACCATTTCAACACATAATTGATATAAAAACTACTAATGAGATATTTTACATTTATTTTCCCAGACTAAATCTTTGGCACCTGGTGTATATTTTCCACTTAGCATAGCTCAATTCAAACATTAGATCTTCATTGGAAATATCCAATATAGATTTGTTAAATTAATGTTGAAAAAGTATATTTGCATACCAAAGTTGTTCCAAACATATGTAACAGTTTTTCAATAACTGAATTGAGTATCAGTTTTTAAATTTACATTTAATTAAAATGAGATAAAATGAAAAATTACCTCTGCAGTTACTTAACCACTACTTAAAGTGCTTAGTTCCCATGTGCCTGGTGCTATCATGTTGGACAATGAAACCCCAGAAGCCACTACCATAGTTTCTGTCTTCCTTTTTCTCTTCCTAGCTAAATGTTTTCCAAATTCAATTATAGATAGAAACTTATTTCTTAAAATGATATTGTGGAAGTTCCTTGTTTCCATTTAGAAGAGATTGGTTGAGCCTTCGCCTTCTGCCCCCTTAGCCAACCTTCACATTTACCTCCTGGAGTACCCCTGCCCAGCTCCCTCTGCCTCCTTACCCCAAGCTCATGGAACAGTTAACAAATGTTGTCTTAGCACTGAGCAAATTGCTGACCACACATTCAGAATCCTAGTATCTTGGGGCTCAAAGGAACCTTAGCACATATGTGGGTTAGCCCCTACCACTCTCTTCAGTGCAGAAATGCTTATCCTAGAATTCCTTGTCAGTGGGTGGGTAGCTAAGGGCTAAGACTCTGTTAAACACCTGGGAGCAGATGGATCATTTCATTCTATTCTGACTTACACAGTTCTCTGTGTGCTTATCTTGTTTTTCTAACTAGGATGGGGGCAAGGACTGCCTTTTATAGCCCCACAGCACCCACACAAAACAAGACAATCAATAAATTCTTAACTGAAAGCCTGACAGACTGCAGGAATTCAAGGTCGCTTGAAATATCAGGGTCACTGCATTGCACAACTCCAAAGAACATCATTCAAATTATATTCTATGGTTGTGCAAGTAGCAGCCTTGTAAAGTTTGCAGAGTTTAGAATGGAGTTTGTTTTCCAGCTGAGAAAGAAATCTTTTAAGAAGTTCTTTATTGGTACGAAATACTACCTCCCTCCAGTTCTTACAGGAAATAGCTATTCAAGAAAATGTTCTTAACTTCCTTAGGACTGTTCACAGAGAGTGTGTATGGAATGAATATGTGTGAATCTGTGTGTGAGTATGCGTGTATAAGTCAGGTACGCTGGTAGAGTTGCTATTTGGAAGCTCATCTGTAAGAGTTTGAGCACCTTAACTTACTTCAAGAGACCACTGTGTTTATATTCTTTTTGGAATTTCGTAATAATGGAATCTTCTCTGACTTTTTAGAGCTTCTGTCTTTGTATAACATCCCACAGCCTGACTCGTAGGTTTAGCACACATACACTTCAGATACCAGATAAACAAAAGGATTCTGAAGGGACTCTTCCTAGCTGCATGGTTTCTATCTTGTTCAAAGTCAGAAAATGCAGAGAAAGGAGAGAGCAAAGAGGCTCTCTTAAAACAAAGTAAAAACAAAATAACCCTTGCCTGCTTTCATGTTTTTAAAATTGATGGGTGTTTGGTTTTCTTTCATGTCTACCCAGGAAACCAAGTATTGCCTCCTGGAAGTTCTCTCGGAAATGGGCTCACGCCAGAGGCAGCCAAAGATCTTGGCCTTCCTGCCGGAATTGCGGTGGCAGCCTCGCTCATCGACGCCCACGCAGGAGGACTAGGTACTCCCTCCTTCCATGCCTCTAGCCAGCACTGAATCCAAACAGAATCTTCCCCAGAATCTAAGTCAGTTCTTTTCCATGTTTAAGCCAAAGTTCAAGGGTTGGTGATTCAAGATGTAATAAAGAAAGGTTATTTTACAGTTAGGCATTTAGATAGAATTATAGAACTTTTTTATTAAATGTCATTTTATAATTTTATTAATTTCTCCACATATTATCATTGAGAAAAAATGATCTGACTAATTGTCTGGATGTTCTTAGGTTCACTGAAAACTTGAAAATGATATGTTGACTTCCAGCTAGCATGTATGATGATGGTGCACTTACCTTTACTGTTTTTTTTCTTACTAGTACTCCAAAATCCTTACAAGTCTAATAGGTTTATTTTCATGATATGTCTGCCTTTATCGTATATCAGGTTACTCATTTGTAGTGTTGTTTTCATCCCCTACATGATTCTCAAAGCTATCATTCATTCATTCATCAGATACCCTTTAAGCTCTTACCATGTCCACGCATCTTGCTGGGGGGTGGGGGGGGAGCAGCAATGAATGTAAAACAAACCAAAGGAAACCAAGATCTCTTTACCAGAAGTAATGGGAAAGTATGAAATGAAACAGAATTAAAGCAAAGAGTGATGACTCTGTGCTCTCCTTCATTCCTATCACAACTATTTTGTTTTGGTTGTTGCTATGATACTCTCTCTCACTTCAACTATAGCCATATATATTTTTCCCAGCCTTTCATTCTAACAGTGTTTTGTTTTAATCTATGGATATATGGTTTACAATTCCTGAAGTCAATTTAGTAGGCCATGACCCTTGAATTTTTAGAATAAAGTGGAATAGAATAGAGCAGCGTAGAAAATATCAAAGCACAATTCACATACTAAGGGTGAGCACTGGTTTGCGGAGCTTATGGCTCCATTTTATGTACAAGGTAAGCTTTGATGAAAATAGATTTCTTACTATGGGTCATGGTAAAAAAACATTCAGAGTTATTCTGGCTCATACTTTATCTTATTGTCAAGAATTATCTTTCAAATATTTAAATTGATTTTGCTCTCAGAACCCTGTTCACAAATGTACATTTTCACATCTTCGTGTATGGTATATGTGTTCTCAGCCTAGAAGGACGGGTCCTCTACTTCTCCAGCTGGCTAACTTGAAGACCCATATGAGGTGTAAGGTGCTTTTCTCCTCTGCATAGCTTCTTATGGAATACTCAGATTATTCAGAAATTCTCTAAGTTTTGCTCCTTTCATCACTTTTACCTATTTGAAGAAATGATCATATTGGATTTTCTGGTTTATCTGTTCATCTTTTCTACTAGAATATGAACTTCTTTTTTAAATTTTTTTGGAGAGGTTTTTGCTATAGGGCGCATGCGCTCGCCGGACAGACAGAGAGAGACAGAGAGATAGAAAGCGAGAAATCCCCCTCTGAGGGGATGGCCACGCCACAATCCCTTCTCCTCCATTCTCCTCTTGGGATCTTGGGCATGCATGCACGCGTGTCCGACATGAGTTTAAGCCACTGGGTCCAGGACACTAACTGCAGTCAACTATGTGGGAGTCCAGCGACATAGCCATTACGCTAACTGCTGGTCCCAAGAATGTGAACTTCTTGAAGTCAGGAGCACTACTACTTTTCTGTGCCTGGTTTCTATAGATGCTTGATGAGTTCAGTACGTGCATCAAGTTGTATTTAGACCAGAATTCAGTGAAGTAGCCTTAACATACAGAGTGAAGTTTAGTCTGGTTCTTTATGTGGCAGGTCGTTGAACAGTGTCTTGTTGGTCCACATGATCCACACACTTGCAGAAACAGGATATTCCCATCGATACATGAGTCTATCTGTGCTTCCATCCTTATGTGCTCAAGTGCTCACATAGCGCCTGAGAAATAGTAAACAACCAGGGACACATGTGAGTTGATGGAATGATGTGGCAGGTAGATCTGATTACAGGCATGGGTGTTGCTCTCCAGGTACTTTTCCGTGAGCAATGTGTGCTCTTGTTAGGAATGTCATATTTTTTGGTGCTTTTTTGTTTTCTTTTGACTTTTGGTTTTCAGGTATAAGTGCAGAGAGAATTAGAGACCTAGATAAACATAGTGTGTCCCTGTCTTCTAGTAATCCGGACATTCCAGATAATGTGTGAGGCCACAGGAACTTCCTCTGTCATGATTTGTTTGTTTTTGGAGAGGTTTTTGCTATAGGGCGCATGTGCTTGCCAGAAAAACAGAGAGACAGAGACACAGAAAGTGAGAAATCAACCCCCAGGGGGGATGGCCACACCAGAATCCCTTTTCCTCCATTCTCCTCTCAGGATCTTGGGTACACACACACACACACACACACACACACACAGGCCCGGCATGAGTTTAAGCCACTGGGTCTAGGACTTGAACCACGGTCGACTACGTGGGAGTCCAGCGACATAGCTATTATGCCAACTGCTGGTCCCTGTCATGCATTTTTAATTAGCCCTGGAGTGTCAGTCTCAGTCATCCACCCAACTCCAGTGATGGGTACTTAGCCAGGACCATCACTGTTGGAAAAGAGTGATGGCCTTTGGGGAGCCAGAGGTACTATGGTTTCCTGGTCAGTTTCCCAGACCTTCCTAAGGAATATGCCAGGCACGCCCTCTAACTCCTGCCCAGGAATTTCTGTGCCCTCCAAGGGACAGGACTGCCAAGTGACACCCATCTTTTCCCTAACAGAGATGCTCAGTGACAGAAAGTTAACCCTTAGAAGCTTAGGCCTAGGTCCTTTGTTTCCTTTAAAATACAAATGCTTGTAAGTTAGTGACTTTTCCCAGTATTTTTCAAAAATAAATTTTTTTAAGTGTAAAGATAGACTAGGGACTTTGGATTCTTTAATGGCTGAGATAAGGTGCTGTTGTAGGTAGGGGATATACAGGAAGGGGAAATCTCAGTGATTATGAGAAAGTAAAGACCCAGTTAATAATGGCGACCTTCTTGTCTGTTCTTATACCTCTTCTCCCCTTCACCTTACAGCCAAGAGAATTAGGATGTCTAGTAAGGAGAGGCCTGGGAGCAAATGGTCCTTTCCCTCCCTGTGCTCCTGTGAGCATGAGGAGAACAAATGCATGAAAGTCTTGAAAAGATCATCTACCACTCCAGCCGCATATTTGCTTAAGACATATATTGGGTGCATGTGTACCTGTCAGTTCCTGGTTTAGGCACTGAACGTTATACCCAGTGAACAAATGAAAGTCCCACCCCTTTGGGAGATAAAACTTTCCTTGTTCTCCCCTGGTCTACAGGTATTGGCTTTATAGTATGGGACAGCTAGTCTCCTGAGACATCTTACAATGCTGTGATGAGAACAGTCAGTATGGAGTGTGCAGATCTGCATTTAAATTCCTACAAACAGGCATCTCTTAGTGTTTTTGTTTCCTCTGAAGCAGAAGAGATAGCCATAACGATTCTGTTATGAGAACTAATGATGTGCAGATAGTTCATGTAGCTGGCAGAGTATCCAGCGCATAGTAGGCACACAACAACGAGGCACCTTTCTTTGTTTTTCCTCACTCTGGGCTTAGTGCCTGACACAAAGTACGAGCTTCATAAATGGAAGCTCTTTAAGTTACTACCTTGGTAGGAATTGTCTGTCAAGAGAACTGTTTTCCTTTGGCCAGGCAGCTGGAGAAGAACCCAAGGCTTCTGGACTCCATCTGTCCTCCCTGAATCTGCCCCACTTTTTCTCCCCGGGGTCTCTGTACAAGAATGCAGTACTCACTTCTTTGAGATTCTATATAGGTTGAGGTTAGAAACAGCCCCAAGAACTGTGGTAGATGAATGCTGTGCTAAAAGACCTCTGAATAGCAGATAACAGCCCAGCTTTAGGGTTGGAATTGGACACCATCCAGGCCCCTCATCAACAATCCCTGGCAGCTTGATCACTTCAGGTGCTGACCTGGCATGACCTGCCGTGGACTCCACATTCTGGCTGGTAGGAGGGGTCAGCACTCAGCCTGGAGAAATTCTCCTGGACTCTTGATCCCAACGAAAGCCTGTAATAGGAGGATAAAGATCAAAGACACAAGTCAAACTCAACTCATGCTTTTCTCCAGTTCTGGAAAAAGAGGAAAGACTTTGTGGGAATAAAAATCAAAGACAGAAGAACATTTTGTTCTTAAGGTGCTGGTTAGTAAGTTCCCCAACAGACAGCCAGGAGATAGGAGAAGCTTGTTTGCACTTTATGGGGGTGGTTCTGGCCAGAGCTCCTGCTGCTAATATTTTTCTAGCTTATAAAAATAATGTAAACTTTGTTCCAGGTTTGTTCTTGGCTCCAGTACCCCAACTGTTGTGAATGGCAATAACAACCTAATTTCTTATCTCAGGCCCCTCTTCTCTCAGACAAACTCCTTATTGTCCATTAGCTCTTGAATCTGCTGCCATCTCCTGTGGGAAACCCTCCCTGACTCCTCAGGCTGACTGAAGCACTCTTTTTTGTTTGTTCCCACTGCATTCTGTACTTGAGGTCTGTGTGTGTGTGTGTGCGTAATGTGGACTTATCTACCATTTGTAAACTCCCCTTTTTGAAAAATATTTATTTTTATTTACTTCTATTGTTGTTGTTGTTAATTTGACCAGACAGAGACAGAGAGAGAGAAAGGGAAAGCAAGAAAGCAAGCTACCAGGTCCGAGACTTGAACCATGGTCGACATGTAGGAATCCAGTGCCTCTAACCATCACACCACCTGCCTGCCCCACCATTTGTAAACTCTTTTAGGCCCTTGTCATTTCATCCTCATATCCGAGCAGCCTGTATAGTGCTTTCTGCATAGACAGCCCTTTAGAGAGAATATTCTGTTTATTCTTTCCTGGTTTGCATGTTTGTGGCTTAATAGTATGGGACAGATGGGGCCAACATGTGGTGTGGTGGTTAAGGCTCTAGACTCCTACATGGCCAATGATGGTCAGAGCCTGGACCTGCTGGGTTAAAGGTCATGCTGGGAATGTGTGCATGGGT